GGCCCCCCCCCCCCCAATCTCTTTTCCTATAGGGTACAGAAACAGCCAAATTCAAAATATGTCTTGAGTCTACATAAGCATATATCTCTCTTTTCCTATAGCTCTGTGAGGTCATCATTGAAGTAGAGCAATATTGCAGGTGTGTGGAGTGTACCATCCATATTGAGATAGTCAAATTCTTCCTCCTCATCTCGGATCCCATTCTCTTCCAAGGTATAGTCCATGTTCAGAGTCTTCCCTTCATATTTCCATGTGTAGCTGGCAGCATGTGCGTTATAGGGGAGATAGCGGTGTAAGATTTCCCACATTGATTCCAGGGTCCCCACCTGGAAAACACAAAAGCACCCCACTCCCAGAATTCTGTGTAGAACATATAAACACACATCCATTCCAAGCAAAGGCCAAGAGCCCAAACTGTGAGCTGGCATTAGAGTGCCTCCCTTGGCAGACAGCTTCAGGCACTCCACAGTCCCAGAAATGAAGTTGGAACTCTAGCATGCAATGAATGGCTCTAAAGTCCTACCTGTCTTTATGGCAACCACTTCGAATAGATGGCCCTAAAGGGTCAAAGTCACTGCTGGTAACTTCATCCCCACAATAGACTATTAAGAGTACAATCGCAAATTGCTGTCCAAACACAGCATGTAAGCATTTCCAAGGACCACCAGCACCAAGATACATGAACTGCTGCCCTGAGCTTATGAGTCTGTTGTACCCTGCCACTCCTGGGGACCTAGGTGGTCTGCTTTCCTCGCTTGCACCTAAAAGGGGAGAAAATACAGCTTCCACCGTTTTGGGAGAGCTGATGACCTAAAAATCTGTTTGGAGGTTTGCTGGGATTTCCAATTCCCTCTAACCTTCCCCTAGACAGTAGTTCTCACCTCCAGTGTGTGCTCCTGGGACGTGAGCGTGTTAATGATACGGATGTTCCGGGTCTTAGCGGACAGCCGCCCCACTTGATAGCGCGACCCCTGCCACCAGGGCTTTCCGAAATCATTGGCCCAGTCGGAACGCGGCAGTTGAGGCGGGACGTGAAGAAAGCGGCCCCGGGGGGTGCGGTATCTCTGGGAACCGGTCAGCGGATCTATGTGCTTGCGGATCTTAAAAGCAGGGTTTGGGGGAGTGGGGTGGGAGCAGTCATTATCTCGGGCTCTGGCTAGCCTTTGCTTTTCCTCCCCATTCCCTCTTTCCAGCGCTCCTCCGCCCCGCCCCCGACACCGGGAAGAACTCACGTCTCTGGTCTTTGGATCAAACCAGTGGCTGATGTCCTGACCCGCAACTTCCAGGATGGGTTTCAGCAGCAGATCTCCTGGGAAGGAGCAGCGGCCGTCAATTCTAGCCACCCAAGAACCAGGCGCCCCCAAACACCACCACCCCCGAAGCTGACCCACAGTGTGGCACTTACCTTTGTACTCTTGTGCCAACGGCGTTAGGTCGTATACGTATCCCAGGTAAGACACCCAGAGGTCTTCTGGCTGGTTGTGTTGGGCCACCTCAACCGGCGTGAAATACCGACGCTGGAAATACTCAAAGTCTGGCCCGGCAACTAGGCCCCGGCGTGGCATGGCTCTTGCTCTATTGGCCGCCAGCTCCTTTAAGTTTCTTCCTGCCTCCTAAGCAGGAGCTCATTACTACATCTTTCCTCATCCCGGAGCTAAGGCGAGAGCGTTTATCCGCTGACATGGAAACCATTGTCCTTTTTCAGCCACCTTCTACAGAGATCAAACGCTGGGGGCCGAAGAGCGGCGTGGGCTCATGGGAAACGTAGTCTGATTCCCTCTTTCAAGTAATTGAGTTACGCCCTCAGGAGTTACGGAGTGAAAGCGAACACACTTAATTCACAGTGGCCTGGGCTACAGGAAATATTTAGGGCAGGCTTTCTGGCGAGGCAGAAAAACAAGGGGAGTTGTGCGATTATTAAAAAGTATATTCTTGCTAAATTCCAGGATTCTTAAAGAATATGTAAAAATTAAGTAAAATTTCTCGCGATATCTTAATACATCCGGCATAATAGAACTCAGCCACAGCGCTGGAAAGTGGAAGCTCGCGAGATCTCTGCAGTTGCCGAGGAGACTAGGAGAAGGAGAGGTGATCTCGCGAAAGAAAAGCTGCCGGAAGAGCTCGCGAGATCTCAGACCACCGGACCCGAAAGGTTCTTAGGGAGTTGAAGGGCCTGGAGGAGGCCCCGGAACAAATGGCTGGAGCTGGACCGACCATGCTGCTACGAGAGGAGAATGGCTGTTGCAGCCGGCGTCAAAGCAGCTCCAGCGCTGGGGTTAGCTTGGGCTCGGGTTCCGAGATTGAGGGGCAGTCGGGGAGCAAGATGGGGGGATGGAGGGGGAACTGCAGCTCCCGGCAGCCTCTAGGATTAGTGAGAACGCCCCGCGGGCTGTCGGGAGCTGTGGTTCCGTGGGCGGGGAGCAGCTTGGGCGGTGCGGTCTGAGCGCGTGTCCTGCTCCGCGCAGGACTCAGACGGGGAGCGCGAGGACTCTCCGGCTGCGCGCGCCCGGCAGCAGCTGGAGGCGCTACTCAACAAGACTATGCGCATTCGCATGACAGATGGACGGACACTGGTTGGCTGCTTCCTCTGCACCGACCGCGACTGCAATGTTATCCTAGGGTCCGCGCAGGAGTTCCTCAAGCCTTCGGGTCAGTGTTTGGGGAATGCACCGCCTCGGAATGCAGTGGAGCCTCAGGGCATTTCCCTTTTAGTGCCTGGATGCACCCCTTATTTTGGGGGGCTAGAAGTCGTGGCTCAAAAGGGGCGGGACCGACGCTAGCCTACCTTCCTGATGTTCTGACCCTTCTTTCCAGATTCCTTCTCTGCTGGGGAACCCCGTGTGCTGGGCCTGGCCATGGTACCCGGACACCACATCGTTTCTATTGAGGTGCAAAGAGAGAGCCTGGCGGGGCCTCCCTATCTCTAACCATGATCGCGCATGCCTTTCAGACTTCATTAAACCTGTAACCCAAGTGGCCTGTGTGTGTGTAGCTGGGATGCCCGGACAGAGATCGCACACCCCACTCCTAGAGGGGAGGTTTATCTTAAGTCGGAAGCACTGTCAACCCTCCTTTCACAACCTGGACGTCCAGGAGTGCCAAAGGTCCCGTCAGGTTCGCGGGTGGAGATAGGGGACAGGCTGAGCTTCGGACCAACAGGCCCCAGGGTGGACCCCTCCATCTTCCCTCCCAGCTGCTGCTCCAGAATTGTGGCGGGAGGGGGTGTCATCCTGCTCCGGAAGGCCCATTGTTTCCCTTCCCGGCCTGGCAACACCGAGTTCCTCTAAGCTGGGGTCAGAGAACGGGCTCAGGTCCCCAAGGGGAGCAGGGCAGGCGACAAAGTCCAGGCCCCCTCCACTCTTATTGATGAGGAGGTGACTTTGGGGTCAGGGACAGAGCTCGAGTCTGGCCGGGAAGAACAGGCTAATGCGATAAGGGAAGGCCAAGAGGCTGAAGGATGCTCCCGTCTGCACACTTGAGCCACACAACCCCCTCCCATGTTGTTTTCTTCTTCTGGGCACCGAGCTGTAGTGATAGTATTTGTACCACCCCTCTGTTCACAGGAACCAGGAAGTACGTTCAGTTAATTCTTTATTAACGTGTGTGATCACTCCTTCCCCTCCAACCTCACCCGCCAGCCCCTAAATACTAGAAGAGCTGCACCGGAAAAGGAGGGCACCAGCGAGGTTCAGTTGTCCTATTCACAAGATGGGGGTGGGGTGTATGTGCAGGGTCCAGCCCAGATATTCGGGATTCAGATATGGGTAGTGAAAAGAAAGGGTTTTTCTGGGGTGTGGCGAATTTTCACCAGCATTGGGTCCACAGATGCTGCAGTTCGCCAAGGGGTTGCTAGGACCGGCTTAAGCAGGGATGGGGGCAGGGTAGGTCGGGAGACCCCCAGATTTTAAGTCCTTGGGCTGACCGAAAGTGAGGGTAGTCGTCGGGGTGGTTCTTGACTCGAGGGTCCTCAAACCCATACCTTTCCAGATGTGGGAACTGTGTGGGACCCTGGCGAGGCCCGGATTTGCCGCAGCTGTGGGGGGCGCCGGCGCCGATAGAGGGCTCGGCTGTAGGGCACGAGGCAGTCGGCTAGGTGGAGGCGCAGGCAGAGGCGGCGGTAGCTGGCAAGGGCAAGGACGAGCAGCGGCACGAGGAGCAGGAATCCGGTGACCAGCAGGGCCGTGAAGCCCGGGTCCCTCAGGTGTGCGGTGCAAGGGGGTGCCTGGGAACGCAGGAACTGTAGAAGAGGTGTCAGGCCCAAGCCCAAGCGGGTAGAAGTTGACCCCCCCTCACCCATACTCACAGGCATACCCTGGGGCACCCGCTCACCTGGGAGTGGCAGAGGAAGCCGAAGCCTAGCATGGTGACAGCAGGTAGCAGGATGGTCCCCAGTACCAGCGCCAGCAAGAGAAGATTGAAGGCAGCCACCAGCAGATTCTGGGCGGTGACCAGCACAGCGCAGGCCCAGCAGTCCAGGGGGTCCCGGGGCTCTGGGCCACCGCTGGGAACCGGTCTCTGCGCCCCGAGGACATCCGCCATGGCCTGCCTGGCTCCTGCCCGCCAGGGCTGTGGCCCTTATAGCCCTCTTTCCTGCCCCTCCCCCGGCCCAGCCTCCC